ATTATGGATCAGATTGGATTTGATTTGAAGTTATTTTCAGAAGAATGCTTGAAGATTGGGAGAATTATTTGATTGGATCTGATTAATCAAATTAAATCTGGTTGATTGCTGCTATTCATGAAGATTGAAAGCTTCTCTTCCTGTTGTTACTTTTGCCACAACCCAAGCCCATTCTGCATTACTATTTAAGGAGGCTGAAACCCTAGCTTGAAGATTAGAGAAGCAAGGATTAAAAAGTGTGTGCATGTGTTTAAGGTTTAGGCTTCGTGCGTGTTAGTTTTGTGAGCCATTCATTCATTGTTTAATGTGTGAATTGAACTAGGTTGTTAATTATTAATTGTTCACTTAAAGCTTTTAAGCAAGAGTGTATTGTTCTTGATTGAAGCTTTTAAGCAAGATCAAGTTTTGACTTTGAAGAGTGTCTTCTAAAGTCTTTTTTTTTTGTATTGACTTTTATCACTGCTGTGATTGAGGGAGATTGAGACGTGTCTCTTGTCTAGGTGTGTTCTAGGCAGAAGTTGCATGGGTAGAGATTAAGTGAGGAGTTGTAAACTGGGAGTTTAACTATGAATTAATTCTACTGTTAGTGAATTTCCTCCCTGGCTTGGTAGCCCCCAGAGGTAGGTGTGTTTTCCCCGAACTAGGTTAACAATTGTTGTGTCTCTTTTATTTATTATTTGTTTAGCTTGGTTCTTTGTTCTTATCAAACAAATATTTGTGTCGTGAACATCTCCTTCGACATCTAATATCTGATACCCGAATTTCAGTTTGTGGTTCAAAAGGGATTTGTGGCTAGTTCTTTGGGCAAGACATGATTCTAGGGTTCAATGCACATCTTGAGGGTCCTCTATATGCATTATGTGTCATCACAAGCCACCATAAGAGCTTCAATCAGTGGAAATGGTCCTAGGGTTTCGTCTGGTTAACAAAAGTCAATTGTGGTCCAATGGGGTCAAAATCTTGGATTTCAAGGTCAACTAAGGGTATGCTATGTGTTTTCAAGTGTTTTTATATGTTTGGAACAAGAAAAGCCAATAGGAAACATAAAATCAAGAGTTTGGTTGGATTATGGTTTGATTAAAATATTTTATAAGTGTAGAAAACCCTAATTCTAGCCATTTTGCAACCTCCATAACTTTCTCATCCTTGATCCAATGGAAGCAAACTTGTTATAAAATTAAAAAGGACATTATGAGATACAAGTTTATAGAAGAAAGAAAGTCCAAAAGATCCATAGTTTGAGAGATATGATGAGCTAAAGTTGAGAAAATGGAGATTTTGACATTCCAACACTTAGAAATTTTTCTAAGTGTGGAAGTTCAGCTTGAAGTACCTATTTTTAAGCCTATTTTACATGATGATACAAGCTTAAAATGACTTTTCCTTGAACATGAGAGTTGTATAGCATCCTCCAAGCTTTCTTTTGAGTACTAGAACTTCTCTATTGGATGTGTAGAACTCAAGTTATGATGTCTCCAAGTAAGGGTTTCAAACATGTCAAGTGGGACAAGTTTTAGGCAGATTTTTGGGACAACTTTCTGAGGCACTTTTCATCAAGTTCTTGACCTCAAATTAATTTACCTTGAACATGAAAGTTGAAGATCATTCTTCAAGCTTTCCATCCATTACTAGATCATCTCCATTGGATCAAAACTCCTCAAGTTATATGGATTCAAAGACGAGGTTTCAATTATGTCAAAGTTCCTAACTTAGAAATTTTTTCTAAGTACCTTGGGGCAGGTTTTGGAAACCAACTTCCTTGGTGTTTTTCTTGATCTTCCAATCCTTTTTTCATCATGCTTCCAACATGAAAGTTGAAGATTGATCTCTAAGCTTTCTTTTGAGCACCATTTTGTTAGACGACGACACTGATGGAGAAGGGGGTTGAATAAATCACTTATTAAAAACAGAGTTGGAGCTTACTAATATTTGGTTTTTAAAATGTTTTAAGCAGAAGCGGCCGAGAAACTATATTCGTCTAAACGAACCTTTACTGAAAAGATCGAATATATGCAAAGCCTATATGGAATACCGATAAAGATGAGATTTAGAATCAATAATTTAGTCCTCTTGTATGGAGCATTGGTCCTCCCTTCTTGTCCATATACTTCAAGGTGTTGTTGAACTTTTTCCCAAGAAGAGCAATATCACCTGCCAAACTCTACTTTCTGTCACCTTGAATACCAACTTCCTCAGTGTTGGATAAAAAGGTTATACCTTTGTTCTTCTTTTCAAACCTTTCATTGATGGACATCTCAAAGGTTTGTAGGAAATCAATGAGTTTGTCAACCTTCATACTACTTAGATCCTGAGCTTCTTCAATAATAACCATTTTCATATCAAACCTCTTAGGTAATGATATGAGAATCTTCTTGGCAAGCTATTATTCAGACATATTTTCACCTAAGACAAATGACGTGTTGGCAACGTCATACAATCTAATGTGAAACTCACTCATATTTTCATCTTCATTCATCCTCAGGTTCTCAAATTTTGTTGTTATAAGCTGCAACCTTGACATACGAACCTTGGATGTGCCTTCATGTGCAATTTTCAGAATGCCTCATGCTTTTTTAGCTTCTAAATACGTGTTGATCAAATTGAACATGTTCTTGTCCACACCATTAAAAATTGCATTAAATGCTTTGGAGTTCTCAAAGGCTTCATCATCTTCAACATCAGTCCAATCAGCCTCTGGTTTTTGGCTGGTTGTACCATCTTTAGAGGTAATCATTGGACGTTTCCATCCCTTGATCACAACTTTCCATGATTTGTTTCCCAAGGATTTGAGAAAATCCACCATCATCACCTTCCAATAATCATAGTTCGTGCCATTCAAAATATATGATTTGTTGACTGATTCTCCATCTTTAATTGTATCCATTTAAGCATAATTTATCCTTCTTGGAGCTTACCTAACAAACTATGGTCCCTGCTTTAATGCCAACTAAAATTTTGTTCCTTAGGGGATAAATGTCGAACTCAATGCTTCGACAACAAGTTCGATAAGATACACCAGAACCACTATACTAACAAGTAATAGATGATGGAGCAGAAAAGCAATAAAGAACACAGTCAATTATTTACCCAGTTCACTGAAGTTACACCTACGTCAGGGGGCTGAGTCCACAACCAAAGAAAAGAAGTTCACTATTAGTAGTTTAGTATAATTAGACTTACACGTAACAATAAATTTTATGGGGTTCAATGCATTTTTCTAAAACTATCCAATGACTTTCTATTTAGAGTCTCCCTCTAAATATAAGAACCTACTCACTTTCTTCTCTGTCACAATTCCAGTGATAAGGGAAAACAACCACTAAACCTGAGTGATCAACTTCAATGATCACAAGATGAAATAATGTTGAATATTACAACTCAACTAGACAAACCTTCTATGCCAAGTTACTAAAACATAGAGGTGTATATAAACAATGTTGATTACACCTCAACTAGATAAACAATCTATGACAATCTATGACAATTTACTAAATCATCGATGTGTACATAAAGATCTTGCACTATCTCTATAAGGGTATTAACATGGATACGCAACACAAAACCTAACACTCTAAGATCTTTAATGGGAGTGCTTGATTTCCAATATATGGTTGAGAGTTCCTTATATAACAATGTAACTCTGGTCTTTTCTCCTTAGATAATATCTTTGAATTCGTTTAGAATTAATGCAGAATTTGTTGGATATTCGATTTGCTCCTTCAAAATCTCCAACAAAATATAATTTGTTTTCATTCAAATTCAAATCTTCATTTAAATCCGAATTAAACTTTATCCCGCTGTCAAACAAATCATCTAATCATATCGTTAAATCAATAACAATAAAATCTTTACCAAATCTTCTGCAGAACACACTCCAAAACACACCATTTTGGTATTTGTTACACAAGGCCTAGATGTAGTACCAACATGTTAGAGCATCACACCCAACATGTGTCCTTTTTGCAACTTCATACCGCTTTACCAAGCTAGACTAATCTTGAACACTTGGACGCTTCTTCAAGTTGTTGTTTTGCTAAAATACAGGCAACCCAAAGGAACAATCCAATAGGAACAACAAATGTGGATTGCTTATTTCACTTATTTCACTAAACTCTAAAGTGAACGTATATATTCTCAAAATTGATTAGGAAAATAATTATCTAGACAATTGTGTTATATTTAAAGAACAACTTACACTAATCAATTATTTTCGTGCATCATGCACTTCATCATTCATCTCATGATCTTTTATGGTTAAAATTCAACATTTTTTTTTACTAATTAATTCTTGAAAGCATAATATTTGATGCTTTGAAAAATGAACAAAATTTAGTTTATTTTAAAAAAATAAATTTAATTGATATGCATTATCGATGTAAATTTTGTTTACACTGTCAACCAATCATCATCATGTATCCCGCCACATCACACTGTAAATTTCAAATTATTGATATGACATAATAGATCGATGAATTCCTATTGAATAACAGTGAAAAATTATTTTAAACTGTCAGCGTATATCAATTAAACTCTTAAAAAACAGTCTCTCGATTTTTTAATCTAAAACAAAATTTAATTTAATTTAATTTTTTTTGAAAAATAACAAAATTTATTATTAACTTTCTTAATAAGTAAACAATCTGAAAATGATAATTAAAAAGAACTGAAATAGTATAATAATAATAATAATAATAATACACAAATGACGATTAAGTTGCAATCATCCGCGCGACGCGCCTCAGTAGCACGTGCTTTGTCACCACGCATCTTCAACGCCGAAAGATAAGTCACAAGACAAAAATACTCTCTAGTCTTCTCTTAGTATTACTCTTCCAAATCCATATACAGTACATTCTTGTGCTACTGAGAACACTCAAATAACAAAAATTGAAAATCAACAAAGTTCAAGATCATTCAGATCAAAGCATTGAATTGAATCCACACTTCGGGATCTGAATCTTCGAAATGCACTTGCTTCCCACACTTCCATTATCAACCTCATGAAGCAAATTCGTCAACGCCAAAGGATCATCATTCTCTCTCTCCTCTCTCTTTCCGTTGTTGCTCCTCTCATTTTCCTCGGTATTTTTTTTTTTTAATTTTCTTGTTACTTCATGTAATTCAGCTTTTTTTTTTACTTGTTTTGACTTCAATTTTTTCTGTATCGTGTTGTTTCAGGGAGAAGAGAGTTCCTTCAAGATTTGTATCGTAATGTAAGAATCCCTTAACTCTTTTTTTTTTTGTTTATTCAAATGCGGTTCTACTTCACCCTGAATTAAACGTTTTTTTTAGTTAAGCTAGTGTGCTCTAGTGTCGGTGAATAGAATTTTTTGAGCTTTATCTGGTTTTAATTGTTGTATAATCTAATTGTTTGGGAATTGTTCATGTTTACTCTTTGTAGCACTGACTGCTCAGAAAAGTGTCTCTTAGTGCCAGTGCCGGTGTCTGAATCGACACCAACACTTGTGATTAATTTAATTTATTTATTTTTTTATTGGTGTTGACGTGTCATTATCGTATCAGTGCATTGTTTCGGGTGTCAGTGTTTCATTTACTGCAAGGAATTTTATTCTGATAGTCATTTGGACTAATTTTGGTTAAACTTCTCTCAACAATCACTTGTAGTTGAAATAAGCTTGCAATGGTTATTAGGCTTTTAATTTAAATAATCATCTCTTGCATGAATTCAAAAGCATCTTCATTTACTCTCATTGAGATCCATAGAGGCGTAAATACGTGTGAGATTGTTAGGGAGAGATTATGGAAAAAAACTTATAACATGTTCATAAGCTCTTTTAGCTTATTTCCATAAGTTTTTTTTTTATGATAGTTTATAATAGCACCTTGTAGTTTATGTTAGAACAATAACCGATGTAGAAGATTAAAGAGAAACGAAAATAAAAGACAACAAATAAGATCAATCTTTATTAATGCAGTTCGGTCAATGGTGTCGCCTACCTCTACGACTATTGAATAACTATAGTTCCCTTGATTTATGTCTAATAATCAGGGTTACAGTGTTACAAGCAATATTTGTAATATTAGGGTTCAATTTGCAATAATACCCCCGAATCCCCTGCACCCCGTTGTACCTACCCACAACAAACAATTTGGCCTAAAACCCGTTTGGAGTTTTCACTGAGCCATACTCAACAGCTTATATGAAAGTAATTCTACTATATTTTATCCTTTGTTATAGAAGTAGCTTATACATAAGTAGTTTATAAAAACATAAAGTTTTTTCATCCAAACATGGCTTAATAATAGATTTTTTTTAAAGCTAATCCAAATTCATAGGTTATTATCCCCAACTGTGGAAATTGAATTTGTTTAATTGTTTTTATTGCAGACATCCAGAACGGACAGTTCCAAGTTAAATGTTGTAGAACAGGTAGTGGGAGATTTGATTAAAAACAGTCATTGTTGCCCTGAGTTGTTTGTTTTCCCTTCCCAATGATGACAGATTAATATTTTAATGTTCTGATTGTAATTTGGGCCTTTTTTCCTCTTTAGATTCAGGGAGGTTCTGAAGAATTTAAAGAGCAAAATCTAGTTGGCTATAAAGAAAAAGATGTTGGTTCAACAATTAGTTACGATTCAAAAAAGAATAATGATGCTGAGGAATCTAGAATTGCAGCATTGGAAATAAATGGTTGGTATATGTAGCCATGTAGGTTTATGTTGAACGGTTAATCTTGTGAGCTTTTCGTAATTCCCCTTGAGTAATAAACTGCAAAAGACTATGAAATTTGCATCTTTATCAAGTTTCAGGATTCAGCCTTGATGAAAGACAAGATGGGGATGCTCGGAAAAATGATTCATCCTCCGCGGATGAAGATATAAATGTACATGCTGTTCCATATAGAATGTCAAAGGAGAATATTACAGCGACAAATAGGCCATCACGTCGAAAAGAAGACCGTCATCATATTTTAAACCCTCCCTCTCGTGAAGTGAAAAACCAGAAGGTTCAAGAGATTAAGGATCAAATTTTGATGGCTAAAGTATACTTGAGGTTTGCACCCCCAAGCAGCAACTCACACTTGAAGGAGCTGGAGCTGCGAATGAAAGAGATGGAACGAGGAGTAGAAGGAGTCACTCGGGATTTAGATTTGTCAAGGAGGTAAAGTTTCTCAAGTAATTCCGTGCTTGACTTTAGTTCAGAAAAGTGTATTTAACAAACACAATCTTGAAATTTCAAAAGAAGACTAGTATGATTGTGACACCTTTTTTCATTTGGTCCAACAAATTATAGTTTTCTCAGTTGAACATGTGTATTATTAGATAGTAATTAGCATATAAGTGAGTTAATTAATCAGTTACAATAGTTCTCATATCTAGCTAAGTTGGTTAACATTACAGTATTATTCAAATGCTTAGTTAGAGATAGGTATTATAAATATCCTCTTTTTACATTTTCTTCTTATGTAATCACAATGACTTTACATGAATAACAAGTCTATATTGAAAATAAAAAACACTTGTTATACACCAAAATCTTGTTTTCACAATGTTTCGTTTCAAGAGTCTCACATCTAGTTATTAGCAGTTAAAATGAACACATTTTAAAAAATGAAAACGCAATATTTTCACATTTTAAACGGGGACTTAGTTAGGGGTCAAACATCTTTTTTTTCTTCTCAAGTTCAAATTATTATGAGTGAGAAATAATGAGTAGCGCGGCTAATCTTCCAGGCCCTGTGAAATAATATCCATGTAGAAATTTGATTTGACTTGACTCTTGAAAATGACTATTTTTTCAATATGAAAACAAGCGAAGTTTCTCAGTGTTTTGCAGGCAATGAGACGCATGGAAGCCTCACTATCTATTGTCAGCCGTGCTTTCTCAGACTGCTCTATGGTTTCTAAGCTTCAAGCAATGAAGCGCAAAACTGAAGAGCAAGTTCGTTTTCAGAGAAGCCAAGCAACATATCTTGTACATCTAGCTGTAAGGACTGCCCAAAAAAACTTTCACTGTCTTTCTATGAGGCTAACTGCTGAATATTTTTCCCTGAGATCTGAGGAGAGAGAGCCTCCAAATGAAAATAAGATTCATCTTCCAGATCTTTATCATTATGCTGTCTTCTCCGACAATGTTCTGGCATGTGCAGTTGTGGTAAACTCTACTGTCTCTACTGCCAAGGTAATACCTTTTTTTTTATTGATTTAACTTCCGCCAACTAGGGTGGGAGCCTTGTAGCACTAGATTGCTCCTTTTTCACATTGCCATTTGTTACTTTTACTTTTAGGAATTTGCGATGAAGTTCTTGTTTAAGTATATGTAAGACATCTTTAGGTTATCTTCTAAATCTTTCAAAGATACATTGAAATCAGTTAATCATTTAATTGTAGACACGCACTTAGGGGTCGTGTCCTGATTTTGTAATATTTCCTTATGGGCCGGGGCTTGTACAAGTAATACTAGGCCTGATTATGTATTTTAGTATAAATATAAGTATAGATTAAGGTACTGTAACGAAATTTATATCCTTCCGATCAATAGTATTCTCAGTGTTATTGTTTGTTGTCTTTCTCGTTTTTCACTATTCCTAAACCTATATCAGTTCTTATTTTTGACTAGATCTTAATTATTAAGTTTAAATATAATGGCTAGAAAGCTTGATAGTGGCTTTTTAAGTGCAGGAACCAGAGAAACTTGTTTTCCATATAGTGACCGATTCACTCAACTTGCCAGCGATCTCAATGTGGTTCTTTTTAAACCCTCCTGGCAAAGCCACGGTCCATGTACAGAGCACAGAAAACTTTGAATGGTTGTCCAAATACAATACCTTCGGTAAAAATAATAACAGCGATCCAAGATACACTTCTGAATTGATCTACTTTCTTTTCTACCTGCCAGACATTTTCCCTACCCTAAATAAGATTGTGATCTTTGATCATGATGTGGTGGTTCAACAAGATCTCAGTGGACTATGGAATACCGATATGAAGGGAAATGTTAATGGAGCCGTTGGAACTTGTCAGGAAGGAAAAACCCCATTTCATAGGATTGATGCGTTCGTAAACTTCTCAGATCCACAAATCGGAGAGAGTTTTGATGCCAATTCTTGCACATGGGCGTTTGGGATGAATTTGTTTGATTTGGAACAATGGAGGAGACATAATTTAACGTCTGTTTATCAAAAGTATTCACAAATGGTATGGTTAGATAATGTCTTTTTACTTTTAGTACTTTGAGCAGCCATTATAATGCATTGATAATGTAAGTATTTGTTGGGGTGAATGTTTGCAGGGTACTGAGAAGCCATTATGGAATCGGAACAATGGATATTCTCCTTTAGGTTGGCTCACCTTCTATAACAAGACAGAGATTTTGGACAGACGATGGCACATTCTTGGCCTTGGTCATAACTCAGGCGTCGATCGAAATGAGATTGAGCAAGCTGCCGTTATACACTATGATGGTATTAGGAAGCCATGGTTAGATATTGCAATGGGCAGATATAAAAGTTATTGGACCAAATTTTTGAATTTCGACCACCCTTTTCTGCAACAGTGCAATCTTCAGGCGTAGTTCAAAGTTCAAAACTTTCCTTCTTGACCCGGCTACTATTGTTGACAAGTCTGGTCGCACATTAATCTTGATTCACTTAATTCTTTTTGCAATTTTTGTTGTATAGCTCTCAAGGCTTCCCAAAAATGTTGTCTAATTCATAGTTACAATACAATGAAGATAGTCTCTATTATTTATTATTGTGATCTCTTCCCATGAGTGTGTTAAAACAAATGACATAGTGGAAATGAATGACCAGTTGAGCTAGTGAAATTTTTGGGTCATAGTTCAACAACTTTAAACCGCTTTAACTTAAAATGAAACCATGACTAACCATAAAGGTTAATGATCGAATCTAACTCGAGAGTTAGTCATGTTCGCAGAAGATATCTCCTTTTTACTGAAAAAATATTGAACTTAAATTTTTTTATTTCATTTTAATATAATCTCAAACTTCACTATCATCCATTAATCTAATTATTAATTATGTTAGAAAGGACGAAGCTTAGGCTTATTATTACGTGAGGAAATATTGGCCATCAAATGGATTACATGACACGTGGAAAAAGGTTATTGGACTGATACAGATAAGAAATCCAACCATGAGCATCGAATCTATCCTTGTTTTGTGGTACATGGTCTACCTTTGCACTGATATTATTATTAATTTTCACAAACTTCACCAAAACTTTTGAAGTAACTTGTTCATTCTCATTCACTTTACTTCATAATCATCCACTCTTACACAAACAAAACATAAAAAATGGCAACCATCTCAGCTACCACCACAACCGCATCGATCTCCCGTGCATGTCTTGCACAGAAGCGACCACTTGCAGTCTCACCCTCTCCTGTTCTTGGTATGTTGTTCTTCTTAATTTATTGTTCAGTTTTGAATCATTTTGGTTGATGAATAAACAAACAAATTTTCAATTATTTTATATAGGATTGCCAACAATAGCTAAGGTTGGAAGAGTGAGGTGTTCAATGGAAGGAAAGCCTTCATCTGTGAATGAAAGCAGCTCAAAGATGGGAATGACAGCATCTTTGTTATCAGCTGCATGTGCTGCAGCCATGTCAAGCCCAGCAGCCATGGCATTAGTGGATGATAGAATGAGTACTGAAGGAACTGGTCTTCCATTTGGACTCAGCAACAATCTTCTTGGTTGGATTCTTTTTGGTGTGTTTGGTCTTATTTGGGCTCTCTATTTTATTTATGCCTCGGGTCTTGATGAGGATGAAGAGTCTGGTTTGTCCCTTTAAATTGGTTGGAATGATGATGAATTATGGATTGTAGAAAAGTACTCAAGTTATTTTCTGTGATGATATGATATGTATCTAAGTAATGACTTTTGTTGTTGATTATTACTATCTCTTCTTTCCTTGAACTAACTCTCAATCTTCATTACTTTTTTCGGTTTTGTTTGATTAGTTCCACTAACACACATGCACACAATATGCTCACTGCATATTTGCTATTCGTGTTTGTTTGAAGTTCGAATCTAAAAAATAAATTTTCTCTTCATAAATCGAAAACCTGAACTGATACGTAGGAGTCTTTTGGATTGGAGTTTGTAACACGCTAAAGTGGACCAAGATCAACTACCTTTAGTTTTGTATGCCTTTGCATCTTTCTCTCTATCTCTCCTCCCCTAAAGTTTATCTGATGTCATTGTGTAGATTGATCCTTACAAACCCTAGAGTTAGTGATTGGATTAACATCATAAGGTGCCTTAATTTGGTTGGAAGCATCAAATTTCTTCGTGTATGCAAAGTCAAAAGACCGCATACGCGAAATTAGCGTGTTTTTAATCATCTATTATTCACACTTTGTGTGCGGCGTTGATGACTTGTGTGCGCAAAAGTAGCATGTCTAGGTATTCTTAGTGGTTTTAATGGATTCGGCTTTGTTCACTCAAAATTTTATACACGAGTTTCTTCTCCAAAAATCTTAACCCTTGTTCCATCATGAAAATTTATCCGAAGTCAATATTCCTTTGCTACTCCATCTGTTCCACAATTTTACAATAAATGATTAAGATGACAATTTTATACGAATTAAAAAATAAAATAAATAAAAGAGATAATAAAGTTTTTACTATAGGCCATCTTATCAAATTTTTAGAATGATGAAATTAATATTAATTAAAGGGTATAATTAAAAATTAAAATGAATCATTTATTTTAAGATATTTTTTTAATTCTAAATAGGTTATTCATTATGAGACGTTGGAAGTAATACTTAGACTATGTGTAATACTCTAATTTTTACCCCTAAGATCCACATATCATTTGCATTTCATACCTAAACAAGATCACAAGTTTTGGTTATATTGTCTTCCTCTGAAGATTTGTCACCCTTGTTTTTCCGTATGTTTGGTGTTTGTTTATATTTATGTTTATTAACCCTTAATTAAAATTCAAAAATATGCGTGTTTTTTTTTTACTAACTCTTTTTCAGAAAGAGGTTGGAGTCAAGAATATCAATCAACAGTTCCTCAACTCGAATGAAATTCATCTGAAAAAGTCAAAGTTGATCTGCAAGCAATTCCAATCATTTGATCAACAATTTTTCAAGATTTGATTGACTTTTATTTAAGAGACTCCAAGGTTCATCTGTTTATTTCCATACCTTTTTTGACAAGTCAGAAAAATTGAGGCAAAGTTAAGACAACACATCAAAAAGGATTTTTTTTACAATTTTCACTGTGTTAATCGATTAACACATTTGAACATGCAAATGGTTAATCAATTAATCAGTGCGTTTTTTGTGAAAATACAACAAATTCAAATTTTGTAGCATTTTCGGCACCAAATTCAAATGTTGCATCATGAGAATATTCTAAATCATCTCATTTTAATTCCTCTACCTTATCATAATTGATTTCCACCATACACCTTCAGTAATCACCATTTAATTTTGATATTTCCTCTAAAGTCAAATTTTCAAGTCTAAATTCTATAAATAGAGGTCTCATTTCATTCATTTCAGAAGTTTTTGATAGCCAAATTCACCTTATCAAATTTCTTCTTGACTCTCAATTTTTTCCAGCTACCAAATTCACCAAAACTCCCTCTTCTTTTGAAAGTTAGTAAGTTCATCATTAGAACTTACTAATCTTTGTGCTAAAACCATCATCCAATCACTTCTTCATCATCAACTTCAGTAGATCAAATCTTTGGAGTGTGGTTCTTGGAGTTGATTTGAAACAATTTCAGATTTAAAATGGTAAACATGTCGCTACGCGAAAAATGACACAGAGTCGCCACCAGATTTTATTTATTCCAAGGAGGGAAAGGGAAATAGCAATAAAACCTTTGGGAAAAGAGCATGGTCGTCGCAACCAAGTCTTAGGGTTCGGGAGTCGGTTATGCAAGGGGAAGGTGTTAGCACCCCCTCACATCCATCGTACTCGATGGGAACCTCCTAGGTTGTTTTGCGTGAATGGGTATTTTTACTTAAAAGTTTGCTTGCTTAAGGAAAAAGGGGTTGGTTTTATATTTTAATGCTCGCCAAGGATTGTGGCCCTTGTGCCTACGTATCCTTACTTAAAAGAAGTGAAGAATCAGAGCTCTGTAGTTCGGAGGCTTGTGAAATAGTTATTTGTTGATTGATTTTATACCTTGAAAAAGGGTTTTTGATTGATGCCCTAAGGCAAAAAGAAGTTTGATGAGTTGATGTTATTTTTAGGTTTTTTTTGAAGAGAAATGGTTCTTGATTAAGATTACACAAAAAAGACTTTGGATAGAGATGAGTGTCTCGAATGACCAAGTCGAGCGCCTTGTATTCAAAACATTCGAAATGAGTGTAGGAGGGTTCCATTCTCATTCCTTCTCCACCACTTTAAAGTCCATGATATATAACCTTAATCCTATGTTTATTGTACTTTTGGATTTTTATGAGAAAAATGATCACTTGATGTTGGATCAAGATTTATTGTTTATCAAAATGCATTTGAAGCGATACAGACAAGGTCGATGGCGATGCGCAAGGCAATCGACTTACAAGGTTAAAAATGGCTCGATAAAATAGAGAGTTTGTTTTTGAAAATGGTTTTTGGAATCAAAGGTCAACAAGGACCATAGTAATATTCACATACTAAAATCATACAAATATATGGGGTTAGTCGGCTAAAAAAATCAAGACATGCAAAAAAAACGGCGAACTCCTTGAAAAAAATTTTTTGGAGGTAAAATATTGAAAAAAAGTATAAAAAGAGTGGTGTGACACGGCCCGTGTCAGGAGGTACCTGCAATATGGGTTTTTGATGCGAGACAGTGGTGTGACACGGCCGGCCGTGTCGTGTGACACGACCCGTGTCAGGAGACCTGGGTGTTTTGCGCCACGAAATCTTAAACAGTGGGCTGACACGGCCGCCCATGTCAGCCTACCTGGGTGAAAAAACCAAACTTTTTCTTGTTTTCCTTTCTTTTTTGTGGTTCTTAAAAATGGTTTCTTGGTCCCCCTTGGGACCTCATACAATGTACACAATACAAAATAACTTAACAGAGATAAATAAATGACAAGTGCAAAGTATAAAAAGAGAAAAGTTTGAAGAAATGGATACTAAAGAGGTTTTCCTTCTTTGTTAAGCCTCCACTGATTTTGGTTGGGTACTCTCTTCCTTCTTCCCTCTATGTTGTGAAGGTTCTCCTTCTCAAAGGTTCTTGTGTTTTTATGTGACTCTCTTGATTTTTACTGGTTTTCTTACTCTCTATTTTCTGTTTTTTAGGGTTTCTTCCTCTCTCTCTCTCTCTCTCTATTTTTTTTCTGGTTTCTTACAATGTGTAGTGGGTGTTGAATGTCTATGTTTTGCAGCCCCTCTCATCTTCTTATCTCATTTTTCTAGGGTTTTCCCTTCTCTCAAGATATCAGATTTTTCATATGGAAATGTTTCTTACCACCTTTTCTCATGTCACTCTCTTTCTTTCCATTTCCATGTATATGGCTATGTTGCATTTTTCTGAACTACTTTCCCATGCTGTCTTTTTCTACAGCCCTCTACATTGCCCTCAATCCTTGCACGTCTTTGTTGGCTTATGCTTGGACTACCCTCTTGGTCAATGTTAACCTTTGGACAAAATTTTGAAATTCTGATTTTTAGATGCATTATCATATGTTATTCCCTTGGTCTTGTGACATGTATATTTTGTGACATGAGGCAACTTGTTACTTCTTGCACGGGGATGCTTTGGATTACCTTCATATTGCCCATGAATAAGCATGCATAATCTTGATCTTGAAACATTCCAATGTTGAATTAACTCTTAAATATTTTCCTAGGATGTTTGCAAACATAATGTTGGACATGTAAACTTTTTGGGGCATGAAGGGTACCATAGCATGAAATTAATTAAAAGCTTGGATTAAGACTAGAAGTAGCTTAATTTTCTAAGTATTACCAAGAGCTTGAAACTTTGTAACAAATGTGACACTTTTGCAAATGTCATGAGATTTCTCTTTGTAATATTCCTGAATCTAGTCTTGAATTCATGAATCTTGGACCTTGAATGATGGATTCTCTTATGTCATTATATAAAATGAAGTCTTGAATTATGCACTTGTGATCTTGACTCATGCTTTGCAAATTTGAACTCCACTTGACCAAGAATTTGAAACAAAATTGGATGAAGCAAACTTGAATTTGGCCTTGCATATTATGAATATTTATCTTGAGTATCCAAAATTTTTCAAGTAACTTCTTCTTGAAGTAATCTACATGAGTAGACTTTCCAACTTAGATCAAACCTTAGGTGATGAACCTTTTCTTCCATGTAGTCCAAGATAGACAAGTTATCTCATTTGAAATGGAAAATAACAAATCGACCCAATCCGTACCCACATGCTCGATATGAAATAGAACGATGTATGATATGGCAAATGTAGGGTATAAAGGCTAAAGGTGAAAATGAGGGTGTGACAAAACCCTCATTCCACCATTGTTGCTCTTGATTCATATTCTATAATATGATCTATTGTTGATTCTTGTTGCTTGATCTTTGGATCTTGCTGTTGCGGTGAGAATCAGATATCAAGCTATTAATTAACTTGAATCACAAATCATGAAGTTCACCACCGAATTTTGATATATCAAAAGGAAAGGGTAAAGATCGAAGAAAATCCTAAGTGCGCTATGTAACAACACATCTAAGAGATCCAAGGTTCAGGAGTTGGTTATACCTACATTTGCTCTGGTTTCTCATACCAGATGAGGATACGTAGGTACAAGACAACAATGTCTTGGCGAGCAACCTTCCCCCCG